CTACAGCAGCTTGGAGATGAACTGCGGTAGATCCAAATGATATAAGCATGAAATCTTGGCACTTTTGAGAAATCACCTTCCAATACAAATCGCCAAAAAGTAGACCAAATTATAACCTTTTTTTTTTTTTGTATGTTGGTTAATAATATAAATCAAATGTGTGCATAGATATCATTTCTCAGCAGTATTTCAAAAATATTTGCTTTTAAAGTGACACTAAACTCGGGAGTTACATTTTCAAAATAAATTTTAAGTACTTTGTCTATTAAAGGAGAATTATGAGGAGGGATTTTTCTCTCAGCCTCATAATCTGAGCCGACCTGTGACGATGAAACTGTCACAGGTCGGCTCAGTAGATCGGGAAGTGAGCGAACACATACTGTCGCTCGCTCACTTCTCGCTCTATCCCTGCAGAGAGCCGGGACTGTCGCTCACGGCTCCCTGCAGGGATTCCCCCCTCCCCTGTCCGATCCTCCAGCGCTGACTGGCGAAACGGATGGGGGAGGGGGCGGGTACAGCTGGCTCTGCCTCTGGATAGGCAGAACCAGCTGTCAATCCCGCAGCTGGGTGGTTCCAGACAGTATTGTCGGGATCCGTAACTGTGCGGCATCTCAGTGCTCGCGGTATACTGAGCTTTGAATCACGGGCCAACGCTAGTTTGTTCTCCCGTGACCCTTAGGAGAACTATGGGGATAAGGCCTGACCCCATACTTCTCCTTTTTAACACTGAATTGGTGCTGACACTCTCCTTCCTTCTGGAGGGTGGCTACTTTCTTTCCCCATGGTGTGTGTGGTAAAGTAGCCACCGCTCCAAGCTCCAGAATGTCTCTGAATTCTGTGTCCCTCCATGAATGGGAAAATGGAGTTCACTGAGGTACATAAGTTCCACCTGCCTTCGTAGTCTTGATTTTTGGCACTGCATTTGTAATAAAACTTAGGCATGATGACAGTAAGACGGGTTATACTAGGCTGGTCACTGTTGCTGGGTGTGTGTAGTTTAAATTTTTTTTTAGGCAGCAGTATTCTTCTGTCCTTCAATGAACTCCAAGAAAATGATTTTATATGGGGAGTACAAAAATCCCATGTTCCTTTCAACTGGTGTGGTTCTTTATGGTTATCTTCCTTCCCCACCTCCACATGTTTTCTTTCGTTACTGGGCTTATCTTTTGTCTGACACTCCTGCAGTCATAATATCTATCCTTGGTTGTAAATGAAATGTGCTGATTTTAATCAGAGGGAGATACCCTATCACACGGAATGCTGTTATTACCTCTATATAATGAACCCTTTCAACTGCCAATCCTTTCACAGGTCAGATATTTTCCAAACAGTACATCAGTTTCATAATCTTCTTTATCCATGAGGCAAGGAACAGAAAATGTGTAGCAGATTGTGGTTATGAACACTAACTTGAACTTGGATTCTAGAATGTGTCTCCCTCTGCAGGCAAATTCTACATATTTGCAGACAGCTACTCCACACTGGCTATTCACTTGCATTAAAATGAATTGGGATGGGGCATTCCAGGCTTCTGTGACGAGGACAGTGATGTGGATATGTTTAGGCCAGTTTCAGTGTTGGTGGAGAATTCTGGCAACTGAAGTTCCCTAAAGAGATATGACACAGGCAGGCGATGTTACCTGATGTCAGTAAAGCAATGCTGCTATTTTTTGATTCGGACATGTGTTTTTTGTTGTTTTTTAAACTATGCATTCTGCTCTTTGCTTTTAAAAACCCCCCCCCCCAAAAAACCTACCTGTTATGAGAATTCTTTTGGCTTTTCATATGAGTCACTGATCCTTGACAAAGTATGATGATGTCTGTTTTTTGACTTGCCAGTTTTTTTACAGTCCAGTTACTGAAAGTATTCAAGCCAAAGGATCAGAATGGCAGCTAGCATTGTTGAACAGCCAAAAGTAGCAGTCACTTATTCCTTTCATGGCAGGTTTCCTTCCATCAAAAGCTTTTAGAACTGACGGTCTTCAAGTTTTTTTGCAGTCACATTTGGGAAAACCCATCTGTTTAAAAAAAAAATATATATTTTTAGATGTGTTGTTGTGGCAGATAACATGGCTGAATCAAAGTGTTTTTTTTTTGAGCACTGAAATATAGCTCTTCTTAAATTCATTAACACTTGAATGCAGAAGCCAGAATTTTGTAGTCCTTTAACCCCTCACGGCCCTTCCTAACATTACAAAGAAGTAGAAATTGTAACCCTTAGGGCCTGTTCACACGACATCAGTATTCTGTGGTGACCTGATCCGTACACTCCTGCACTAAATATGCATTCCAATGCATCCCTATGTGTTTTATGGGCTACAGTTCTCACGTGCGCAGTCCGTTCCACTTTTTATGATGTCATCATTGTTGGACTTCCTGGTTCTGGTGAAGCATCAGAGGGAAAACCAGCAGTCATGACTAACATGGAGCATGCGCCAATGCTCTACGACCCCCACCACACACAGTTTAAATATGTGCATCAAAAAATAAGTGGATAGATATAGCATCAGAGCTGTATGATGAATACTCAGTATACAGTAGTGCCCAGAAGAAAGAATGTGGTGAGTGGTTTACATACACAAAGGGAAGTAGATGTTATGAGAGGGCAGAAGTGACCTCAGAGGAAGAATCTGCACACTGGCAGCCCCACGGCTTGAAAAAAAAAAATGGTCAGCATGCGTACCGAAAACCCGTCACACGCACTTCATGAGTAGCACTGCATCCGCAACTGATCAGGACCTGAAAATCATGTGAACAGAAAGCCAAGAAACCCTAACCCAAGTAAAAAATTTAAACTGCAAGCATTTTTTGAATATTTTTTCTTTCAGCTTATGCTATGTAATCTGGAACATGTAACAAATCTAATATATGGGTTATCCCAATCTGGCTGTGATAGTGGAAATACAGTGCAGCATCAAGGCAGCCTATTCATTTTTCAAAGAGCTCACAGCTCACCTTAACATAGGAAATAATGCACCTGAAGTATTTTTAGCAATGCAGAGCACTTAAAGGTCTGCTGTGTGTGGTGCATTGTCTGCATTGACACAAATGTGTTGGCTTGTCATTCTAAGTGACTGGCTCTGCAATGCATATCTTATGTGTTGTGGTAAATGTGCTCGTTGCTGCTTCAAGGCATCAGAGTGAATGGGCTCTTAGAAATGCATTGGTATATGTAACTGACATTTGTTACAAATTTAGAACATTGACTTGCACACTTGAGATCATTGTGTATTTTTTTTTGTACCATATCATTGATACACACGCACGGTTTGTGTCTGGAGGGACATTTCATTGACTGACTTAGTCATGCTTTCTTTTATGTGATCTTGTGTTCTTCCTCATCATGGGTTATTAAAGTATATTTCCACCTGTTGCAGTCAGATTGGAGGAACCCCTCTGTCCCCATTCACACAGTACACCTAAACCATTTGGGGAAAAAAAAAAGTTTACCTTAAGTTTGTACTTTGGAGCAGGGTTATACAGGGTTTTTCTATTGATTTGAAAATTGGACAGTGTATAAATATGGTACAGACTTGAGGGACAAGACTGAGAGACCATGAATTAACATACAATATCTTCACAATCCTGCAAATAAAATGAATGCATAAAATCTACCAGCTCAGTACAGGCAGGGTTAATTATGGCACACAACACTCCCCTGCACCCTCAAATCTTACTAAGTAGGATTTTTTTTTTTTTTTTTTTTTTTTTATAGGGTTTCACATAAGGGCATTTAAAGATGCAGCAATTTTCTACATTTTTTAAGTTATGCTATGTGATTGGGAACATGTAAAAACAAATGTTTGAACTGGAAAATGTGAATCACTTGGTTCAAGGTTTTAAGATAATTGGTTCCACTTGATGACTGTCCGAACAGTTACTGCAATCCTAATTAAATGGAAATAACAAGGCTTAACATGTCCATAAACAGTTAAGCTTACAAAAATAAAGACCATAGTGTTTGCATACAAAGCACCTAAAAACCTTGACAATCCCAAACATACGGTGCTATTGCAAATCTTTTTACAACATTTAAAAAAACAAAACTGGGTTTGCGCCCAAAGGAACAGTACGACAGGTCTCATGGATGTTAGTACAAGTTTGATTTTAGGGCTGCAACTAATGATTACTTTCATTATCGATTTTAGTTGGCTGATTTTTTTTTTAATTTTTTCGATCTGATTGTTTAAAAAAAACAATACTTATCCTTTAATTTAAAATACAGAAATGCAGTGTTACAAAATTTACTTCAGAATAAAACTGCACCCACGATTTTTTGCAAACTATGCCGTGCGTTTCAGTGCAGGCAATCACACTGTGGGTGGGAGGTGCATTTGGGATCCCATTGAAATGAATGGCACTGCAACGTACCTCCCGCAGCAGAATTTTGTCAGGCCGAAACAAAAAATTACTTTTTTGCCACTTTTTTTAAAATTTTTATAATTGTTTTGTAAGCACATTCCTCTGGATGGGATCCCATTTTTCATGCTCTTGCTGTATCAGGGTGCCTGTATCTTTTTTGTCTTTCCTTACAAAACAAAGCGGCTTCTCACATTTCTCTAAAAGGCATTTTCGTAAGATAGTGTTGCCATATCTGTGTGGTTAAACAGGTTCTCCCCCACCCTCCAGTAGGAAATTTCAATTTCTTACTTTCTATTGGCTACTACTTGGCTTCACTGCACTTTTAATTTAAAAAAATTTAATTTTACTTATTGAATAAAATGCAGAGTTTTAAATCGCCTAACAATTTAAAATGTATAAAAATGTTATCAAATGTATAATTTTGGTGAAAAGGAAAAATGACTTTGTCATGTCCCTTTTTTTGGGTTTCACACAAATTTAAAATAGTCTGGAAAGAAAGTAATAGAGCCACCACATCAAAGGACTGATTAGCTGCATTATATTATATTTTTGGGTTTTGATGTATTTGTTTTCATGATTTATACACTGTTTTACTATATATTTTTATTTAGCCACATTTTCTATCCCTTCTATTGTAGCTTACAGGAATCCCCATGAATTGTTCAATCAAGATGCAGATAAGCATATTAGCAATGGGTGTTAGTGGAATTGTGTAAGTATGAACACGTGTGACCAAAATAGAAAGCTGCAGCTGCTGATTTGAAATTACACTACTTCAAAGCTTAAAGTGCTGTTCATAACTACCTAGGTTCCCTGCCTGCATGTTTCCATTCCATTTTTTAAAGTGCTGCATAAACTTGGTGATGTATAAATCCTGAATAATAGTTTTAGTCTTGTGGTATTACAGCCTGGTATTCAAAAGGTATTTGGGATTCCAGGGTTAAATCGCTATCCGACTTGCGGTCAACCCGTACTTGCGGACCGAGGTCCACAGCTATCGCTCAGTGTCACTTTACTGCACAGACTTCATTGTACAAAAAAACTTTGTACAATGAACTGCAGTAAAGTCGGTGACACTGAGTGATAGCTGTATGTACCAGCAGCTGCCGGTACATTTAGGAGAACTGTGGCTGCAGCGGCCTGTGTCCCTTCAAATCCCCGCCTGTGTTGGCGTAGGCAACGGGGACGCAGACCGCTGCATTCCTCCGCTGCTGTCCCGTCCGCTCTTCTTCCCCCCCCGGTCCATCCGCTTCTCTTCCTCCGGTCCGGCCGCTGCTCTTCTGCCCTGCCCCCCTACCTTCATCTGCAGGCTGGGAGCCATACCCAGCCTGCTATTAGATTTTGTAAAATGCAATAGCAGGCTGGCTATTGCACCCGCCCACTGCCTGCTGTTAATCAGCATGGGAGGCCCCTCTGCTGATTGACAGTGGGCAGATGCAATAGCCAGCCTGCTATTGGCTATTGCAATTTGAAATATCCAATAGCAGGCTGGCTATTGCTCCCAGCATTAAAGTTAAAAAAAGTTTAAAAATTGCAAACAAATAAAAATAACATTTATAAAAAAATTAAAAATGGAAACTTTTTTTTTGGTGTCATTTTAAATGTGTTTTTAAAATTATATTATCTTCTAAACAAGGGGAACAGACAGCAAAACAAACGTGACCCTTCCCTATGCTATCCAAAACTAAAAGTTTTTTTTGGCTGGAGTTGCATTTAAAAAACCTACAGTCCCTATCTTGTATGTAACCCGGGGACTGCCTGTACTTACATTTTAAAAATACTAGGTGTTTGCTAAATTGGCCTCTGTGCTGACAGAGCGACCCTTTTGTGTGCTCACAGCAGAGGGGAAGTCACTCAGTACAGCCACAATACAGGACCTGGAAGATCACTGTAAAGCATTGTTGTAGTGCCAGCAGGCCTACCCGGTATATGTGTCGGTACACATAAATATTTATATCTGGAGTTGGCTTTAATCATTTAATTTACTCATATACTTTGTATAGAGAAGTCAACATTTGTCAATATTTATCTTTTGGCAAGCCAGCCTGAGCTAGCAATCGGGATGCCTATGAGGATATCGGATAGATGGGCAGACCAACCGCCAACTGAAGGAAAGCACATGGCGGACTGACCATGTTCTTGCTAATTGTGAGGTAGTTGCTTGGGATCCTGCCAGAAATAGCTCATCCTGTTGTAGGCTGACTACACTAAGTAGGAAACTGCAACAAATTCACAAAAACGTAACATTCCTATCCAGTTCAAATGAGGTAAATGTTAAATTAGTGATTTTATCACAATGTTAAATTGCGAGGCATAGGTGTCCCCCCCCCCCCCCCCGCACTCTTAGGGGAGA